TGCCTACCCTATCTCCACTGGGAGGTTTCATAGGCACTTTAAACTCGACTTGCCCAAACCCAACCCCACAGTCTCCTGGGAGCCCTTCCCACAACCTCCCCATCCCAGTAAACAGACATGAAGTCCCCTGAACTCGGCACTCTCAGCTCAGACCCAAGCTGGGAGCAAATGCTGTTGCCTCTACCTCGGCTCACGTGGGGAACCACGCCACCTCTCCCACCTCCACCACCGGCCCACCCCGGGCTGCTGCCCCAGCCTTCTCTCCAACGGCCCTGCCATGACACTCCTGGTAAGAGCTCTGATCCCACTTCTCACACCTCAGAGTGGATGCCAAGGTCCTCACACGTCCTGTCTGCTGACCCCCTGTCCCTGCTCCCCTCTCCCCGCTACTACTCAGCTCAGCCACGCTGGCCGCTGGCTCCTCTGCAGACCTGCCCCGGGGCCTTTGCACTGGCTCTTCTCTCCCAGATAGCTGTGTGGCTCACTCCCTCGATCCCCTCAGTTTTTCGTCTCATGTCTCCTCCTCAGCAAGGCCTCCCCTAGCCACTCTATTTAAAAAGGATGACGCCCATGGCGCTCCCTGTAGCTTGTCCTGCTCCATTTTCTCCATGGTACTTCCTTTGTCTGACCTGCCTGATATTTCACTCATCTTGTCCCCCTTTATCCCTCCACCAGGATGGAAGCTCCACAGGTACAGGGATTTCTGTCTGTTCACTCTGAATCCCCAGAGCATCTCAGTATCAGCCACACCATCAGCATTCAGACATTTGTTAAACTAATCAATGAAGTCAGGAATAAAGGCCACTGTGCCCACTAGCCTCACGTCAACACGGGAGGCACAGAAACAAAATCCCAGCCACGGGACCACCAAAGGCCTAGGAAGGAACCAGAATTAACATCAGAACCACAAGTTTAGTGGGCTCCGGGGAACAAAGTTGACTGTACTTCTTCACACTCCTGACCACTGGAGTAATTTAGAAGATGCCAGGGGCCGGCCCGGTGGTGCAAGCAGTTAAGTGCACGTGCTCCGCTGCGGTGGCCCGGGGTTCATGGGTTCGGATCCCAGGTGTGCACTGACGTACCACTTGGCAAGCCATGCTCTGGTGGCGTCCCATATAAAGTGGAGGAAGATGGGCATGGATGTTAGCCCAGGGCTAGTCTTCCTCAGCAAAAAGAGAAGGATTGCAGATGTTAACTCAGGGCCGATCTTCCTCACCAAAAAAAAAAAAAAAAAAGAAGATGCCATTCACAACAGCATCAAAAAACAAAGTACCCAGGGACCAGATGTCCCCAGGAAACCGCCTCTAGGGAGAACGTTATCAAGCCAGAGATGAACGGTGTCTGCTGTACAATGGAAACTGGGTCTGGCCTCCCCTGGTTTGAGGAGGGAGCCTCTAACTCCTTCCCCGAGGTTGGGGGGAACCTCTTATTCACAGTAGCCCCTGGCCACACCTGGGTTTACACTAATGAGGTGACTCAGTGGGGGCTGTCACACCAGAAAGACCCGCCCTATGATCAGAGGGCTGGATTTCACTCCACAGATGACACTGTGACATCTCAAACTAACCCGATGCTGAGGCTCGGTGAGCTTCCTGGTAGGTGAGACCCGATGTGCCAGGAGGGTGACACCTGCATTCTGTGAAGAGAGGGCACGGATCAGCATTCCGGACCCTCCCAGACCTCACCCTCTGCGTCTCTTCACTTGGCTGGTCCTGGTTTGTATGCTTTATAATAAAACTGCAAAATCATAAGTATAGCGCTTCCCTGAGTTCTGAGTCATCCTACTGAGTAACTGAATCTGAGGGGGACATGGGAACCCCCAATTTGTAGCCAGTTGGTCAGCAGTGCAAGTGGCCTGGGGACCTTTGAGCTTACTGGCATCTGAGGTGAGAGCGGTCTTGCTGGGGACCACACCCTTCACCTCTGAGGTCACGCTAACGCTGCTAGCCAGCGTCAGGGTTGCACTTCAACAGCACAGCACGGACAGCATCAGAGATCCAAGCGGAGGGACGAACGGCATGTTCCTAACCTGAAACTCTCCATATCACAAAGACTCACTTCTTCCCAATCTAGTATGTCAGTAGTACTCCAGTCCAAGTCTCAGAAACAAATTTCCTAATATTTACACATAAGAGCAAAGAGCCAAGACTCTTCTGAAGGATGAGGTTGGGTCGTGTCCCTTCCTGGAAATGAAGACTTGTTCTAAAGCTGTAGGAACAGGGAATGTGGGGCTGGTGTCAGGACAGACAGACAGATGTACCAACAGAATGTGGAGCCATGAAACAGGTCTGCACCCAGGATGCTCACTCGCCAGGGCTGGCAGTGCAGAGAGGGGACACCTGGGTATCCATCCCCCAGCCACCAGCATAAACAGCATTTGCACGTGAATTATAAACCTGAGTGTGAAAAGCAAAAAAAACCCTTGGATGAAATTATAGGAAGGTATCAGAGGAGGGAAAGAGGTGTTTCCATGGGACACACACAGCATCTACCATGAAGGAAAGAAGATGCATTTCACTACATGAAATTACGAATTTCTTCAACAAGACACCAGAGAGTGAAGCCAGCAACAAACTAGGAGATCATTGCAAACTTGCATAACCAAAGAACTCACAAAATACGCGATGTGAAACATGAAGGACTCCTACTGATCAGTAAAACCAAGTCCTCGGAGAAAACCAGGGAAGAAGCCTAAGGGAAGCGGCAGTTCACAGATGAGGAAGTCCAAAGGGCCAATAAGTCAATAAGCGTGTGAATAGGTACTCAACCTCCCAGGGAACCAGGTAACACATGCGCAACCTCCAGAAAGTGCCAGTCCACGCTCCCCAGAGGCGCCAAAATGAACACATTCAACCCCAAGTGCAGCGGGATGGGGAGCAGCTGCTGCGCTGCGTGGCTTTGCCGGCTGGTGCAGTGCAATCGGCTCGCTTTACCACATGGGCCAAAATGTTCTCCGACACTGAAACGCACCTTCTCCACAGCCAGCAGTCCACTTCCAGCATCAGCAGGGGACCAGATGAGAGCGCTTCAAAGGGGGAGGGGGAGGAGGAGGAGGGACGGCTGTGGCCCCGGAGGCTGGGTGTTGGGGCGGGTGTTTCCTTATGTTCTGTATGTTTTATAAATGTTTTGTTTCTTCTCTTTAATTGACACTTAAATGTGCAATCGGGAACACAGGAACTAAGAAGAGCCAAGTGGGATTGTGGTGGACACTGGCAGGAGGGGGGTCTCTGGGTAGTGGGTTAAAACGAAAACCCCTCACCCCTAGCACAGCCTTTGTGCAGCTGGGGAAGACATGCGGCTGATGGAAACTAGCAGTGACCTCAACATCCGTGGGGAGGGGGCTGCCAACAACACGGGAGCACCTGGGTGGAATGGGCACAGTGCCCACAGGTCTACATCAGACCCTCGTGCTCTCCAGTATTTACAGGCATCACAGCGTCCTGAGACGCCTGCACCGGTATTTCCACACAGTTGGTGGTCAAGGCTATGAAATGAAGTCTCTAGAAGGACCCGTGCAAAGCCCATTCCATGACACCCCTGGGGGAACGGGGCGGGGGGCTGCTGGTCACAGGGAGCTTTGGCTCCATCTAGAATGTTATCATCTTTGGATAAGAATGACTCTGTGTGATTGTCACACAATTCTGACATGTCCTCGGTTCCCAGCCTCACAGCAGCGTGGCCCACACAGGCAGCTGCGCAGTGATGGGAGCCCCAGCTCAGCCCAGGATGGGACAGAAAGGCATGAACACCGTCTGGGGTGAGCATCCCCACAGCAGGAAAGACCCACAAGAGACTGAAGGGACCAGCTCCGCGAGCAGAGCCTTTGCAGACTCCAGCTCCTGGGACCATTCTTTGTCATATCAAAGCCAGACTGAAAACACTGAAAACAGAGGAAAACCTCAAGATCCAGAAATGAGCTGGTTGGGAACAAACACCCCTTCTTCCTCGCAGCCCTCCTTGCCCCTCACTGTCCCCTGGGTCTGGGCCACACACCCCAAGTCTCACCCTTCCTCCTTCCACCTCACGGCCCTGGGTGCCAGACCCACTGCGGCTGCCTCTTCCTGTTCCTCCCCAGCAGAGCCTCCCACCAGCTCTGCCTAGGATGTGACTCGGTGCAACCAGAGCCCACCCTCTTCTCCCAGGGTCCAGGACTAGTCTGAGCTTGCAGGCTAAGGAGCCATACATAGCACGGCAGCTTCCCAGGGCCTCTTCCAAACTTCCACAGGGAGGAAGGACATGGAGACCTCTCCCTGCTGGGGCCTGCATGGATCACACTGTGAGCAGGGTGGCAAAGTGCCCACGGTGGTGTCTGACAGCCACGTGGGCGCCTGGCGACTCCCCACCTCAGATGTGTGTGCTGGCGTCCCTCCCGTCAGCACCCTTACCCACATGAGGCACAGTGTCCCACACTGGTCCCTGGGAACGTCCCCAGGACAGGGCAGCCTTCACAGAGACAAGGTGTGCCGAGCTCGGAGCTCTGCGGGCACCACGGAGCAGAGGCTCCCAGCCTGCATACCTCTGGCCCGAGCTCCTAGGCCCTGCCCCACAGGTGGAGGTGACTCCTCACCACTGCTCCAGCCTCCGGCCTCACGCACAGCAATGCTCCATCTGTGAACTGTGTGCTGCCCCAGCCCAAGTAGGTGCTCAAGGCCTGACCTGGCCCAGGCTGGGCTGGGGTTCTGCTCCACATCAACAAAGAAATGCTCCGTGAAGATGCCGACACAGGACCCGTGAGGATGACTTCCTCTAGAGGCAGCTGGGGGAGGATGGGGGAGGAAGTGGGGGGGACGCCAGGTATCTCCCTGCAGTGCCAGAAAAGGAGGGGCGAGTGCCCCGGCCCCCTGGGGCCCTGTTCTGGTCAGCACGGACTTCAGGGAATGACAGCACGGATGTGCGGCCTCAGCAGGGGAAGGGGGCAGCTCTTGTTGGGGCGTCACACAGGGGTTCACATGGGGGCCCCACGAGAAGCCCAGAGAGAACACACAGTCTGCAAGCGGAGCTTCCAGGGATACACACTTCCTAAACTTCTTCTCTTATAAATATGCATCAGAACATTTGATAACACAAGCAAAGGGCTCTGAAATTAACTTAAAATTAAACCAAGACTGAATCTCCTGCACTCCTAGCAGGAAATTCACCTAAAATGCTTGAAGGCGGCAACAGCAGCCACGGGCTCTCAGGCCCTGTGGCCGCCTCAGTCTCGGGGCACCTTGAAATGGTCCTTCTCTTTGCGGATGGCCCTCATGGTGGTCACAGGGTCCGTCTCGCCCGCGTGCTGCTGCACGGTCTTCTCCCTGCGGAAGCCAAGCACCAGGCTGCAGGCTGCACACCGTGCAGGCCAGGCCCACTGCCCCTCCCAGAGCACCAGGGAGGAAAGGAGCTGGGAGGAGTCGGGACATTCTTAAAATGAAATGTGACGACCAACAGCCAACTTAGGTGTTCCTCACTGTGGAAGACGCGCTGGCCAAGCCCAGTCTGCCAGTGACTCAGAGAGTGGGGACACCAACTCCACACTGGCATCCAGCGCTGCCCAGGTGGCACAGCGCCACAGGGCTCCCTGAGAACGCACCTGGCCTAAGGATCCTGACTCCAGGGTCAGAGAGGACCCCACATTCTCGCCAGAGTGCCAAAGAAAGCATCCCTCTGACTTTTAAGAAAAAGTATCTGATTCTTTGGCTACAGGTAATAAAAATTTCAGGGCAGTCTCCCCTAGCATTTGGGATCTTTAGAAGGAGTTTCGATGAGTGGACATTGTTCAGCTGTGCTTGAGGGAAGCAGAGGCGAACACGCCCCAAGATGGGGTGGGGCCCCACCTGCCACGCCCTCACCTCACTCTCATGAACGGGTTGTAGGTGAACTCCTCCGCAATGGTGGACGGCACTGTGGGCTCCCCAATACCGTACTTCTCCTGCAAAAGAAACACATCACTTTAACACAGAAACTTCTAACAGTGACATTTCAGAATACCTTCTAGCAATCTTAAAACATCCTCTGACCGAGAAGGCAAAGTGAGCAGAATCAGGTCAATGCAAGGACTTGAAGACGTGGTGTTTCAGCTGCCATCCCTCCTTCCCTTGCTAGCTTGGTGGTGGAGGGGGACATGGAGCTTTCTTTTTATTAATATGAAGTTTATGTTTTACATTACAGAAGTAATCAGCAAAAATGCAGGAAACATAGAAAAGAAGAAAACACCCACAGCCGCACCCCCAGCTCAGCGTGTGGGTCACGCCTGGCACAGCCGGGACAAAGAGCAAGGTGACAGGTGCCTGGGGTCCCTCCCCTGGGATGAGATCCCCCTGTAGGGGTGCTGAGCTCTCATCACATGGTGTTGGGCAGGGCTTCCCCTTCACAGGCTCCCAGGAAGGACCCAGGAAGAGCCCTCAGCAGACACCTGGTCACCTCCCCTGGGGCTGATCTCACTCCTGATCAACACTGAGCAGGGCAGACGGAGAGAAGACGCAAACCGGGCCATCTGGCCAACTGTTAGCTCCTACAGAAACTCCTACAGGAAGAAGGTCAGAGTTAGCAGCTGGGGGTCTCCACCCTCCCCTGCTTTTCTACTGCTAGGCTAACCTGGAGGGCCACAGGGCCAGAGCTTGGGTAGTAGTTGTCGACACCTACACCCAGGCCCTCAGACCCGAGGGTCCTGATCCCACCCCTTGATGCCCTTGAGCAATGGCATCAAGAAGTAATCCTTCAGGGGGCCAGCCCAGTGGCGCAAGCGGTTAAGTACGCACGCTCTGCTGTGGCGGCCCAGGGTTCGCTGGTTCAGATCCCGGGCACGCACCGACGCACCGCTTGGCAAGCCATGGTGTGGCAGCGTCCCATATAAAGTGGAGGAAGATGGGCACAGATGTTAGCCCAGGACCAGTCTTCCTCAGTAAAAAAAGAGGAGGATTGGCAGATGTTAGCACAGGGCTGATCTTCCTCACAAAAAAAAAAAAAGTAATCCTTCAAACGCTGGATGTGTGTTGAGTAGGGGTCTGGTGGGAGATCAAGATGAAGGCTTATTGCTAATTTCTGATCTTTCCCTTCTGGTGAGAACAAGCTTAGAATGTTTTATAATATTCCTTGTGCTGCCTCCAATATTCTCACTCCTCCTAAGAAATCTTCCTCCACCGCCTATGAGGAAAGAAGATTAACTCTCCTGAGGGTCATTTTAAAACAAGGCCTTACATGTGTAGTTGGAGGAGTGTAAACCATCATAACCTTTTGGATTATTTATTAAAATGAGTGTTAACATGTAGCGATGTTTCCTACAAAAGCACAAAGCACACAGAAACATAAAGACTTATTATGTATGAGGATGCTCACTGCAGCACAGTTCAAAACAGCAAAAAAGTTAGAAACTCTAAATGTCCTCCCTAATGGGATCAGTAAAGTGATTTATGGTGACATCCACACATTAGCATATTATACTTATTAGAAAGAGTGAAAGTAAGATGGATGGATAGATAGTAATAAAATAAGTATAGTAAAATGTTAATAGTAGAAAGTAGGTGTTGGGTATATGAATGTTCACAATGAAATTCCTTCAACTTTTCTACATATGTGAAAATTCTCATAATAAAATGTTGAAAAGACTAAAAAAGTTTACCAAAATTCAATATAACCCATGTGTCAAAGAAGAAATTACAAGGGATATTTTTTAAATATTTCAAACTGAAGATAATGAAAATACAACATATCATAGTTTGTGGGATGCTGCTAAAGCAATACTTAAGGGTAAGTTTTTAGCTTTAAATGCTTATATTAGAAAAGAAGAAAGGTCTAAAAACAATGACCTTGGATTCCATATTAAGAATCTATAAAAAGAAGAGCAAAGTAAATCCAAAGTAAGTAGAGGAAGCAGTTAAAAAAGATAAGAGCAGAAATCAGTGCAATGTATAAACAAACAAGGAGAACTAAGGCAAAAGTTGTTCTTTTAAAAGATCAACAGAATCGAAAAAAATGACGAAGAAAAGAACATAAATTGAAGAGGGGCCATCACTACAGATCCAACAGATACTGGGGGGGAGGGCGGTATCGTATTGATCTAATTGATCTAAAAGTAAAAGCTAAAACTTTTATAAAACTTCCAAAAGAAAACAGAGAAGAAACTTTTTTCACCTTGGGAAAAGCAAATATTTCTTAGATTGGAGACAAAAGGTATGAACCATAAAAGAAAATTAATATACTGGACTTTATCAAAATTAAAAATGTTTGCTCTTCAAAAGGCATTGCTGAGAAAATAAAAGGTAAGCACAGAATAGTAGAAACTATTCACAATACATATATCTGACAAAGAACTTGATCCAGAATATACTTTTAAAAAATCTTATTATTCAATAATAAAAAGACAATCCAATTTTTTAAATGGGCAAAAGACTTGAACAAACACTTCACAAAATGGCCAATAAGCACATAAAAAGATGTTCAACATTATTAGGCACTGGAGAAAAGCAAATTAAAACCACAATCAAATACCACTACATACCAATTAAAATGACTAAAATTAAAAAGACTGACAGTATTGTCAGAGGATGCAGAACAACTGGAACTCTCATACTCCGCTGATAGGAATGTAAAATAACACAACCACTTAGGGAAACAGTTTGACAGTTTCTTTACAATTCAAACATACACCTAATACAACCCAGCCATTCCACTCCTAGGTATTTACTTAAGATAAATTAAAACATATGTCACACAAAGACTTGTACATAAATGTTCATAGCAGTTTTATTCACAATAGCCAATAAATGGAAGCAACACAAATGTCTATCAACAGGTGAATGGATAAACAAAATGTGGTATATCCAAACAATTGAATACTATTCAGCAATAAAATGGAAGGAACTACTGATACATGCAGCAACACGAATGAATCTCAAAATCATTCTGTTGAGTGAAAAAGAGATACAAGAGTACATATTGCATAGTTCCATTTATATAAAATTCTAGAAAATACAAACTAAGCTTTAGTGGCATGCAACAGATCAGTGGTTGTCTGGAGCCAGGGCAGAGAGAATGCGGCATGAGAAAGCTTTTGGGGTTGCTGGAAATGTTCTGTATCTTAACTGTAGTGGTAGTTGTTTCATTGGTATATACATGTCCAAATTCACTCAATTGTTCACTTTAAACTGATGCAGTTTATTACATGTGAAGTAAACCTCAATAAAAGGGAAGGGATATTAAAAAAGGGAACAGTATGAAGACTATGTCAACAAATTTGCAAACCTTGATGAAATGGAAAAATTCATTGAAAGACACAAGTTGCTAACAAAACCAACTCAAGAAGATATAAAAATCTACGAGTCCTACACATATTAAAGAAATTAATTCATAATAAAAATATCTTTCCACAAAAAGAAGTCAATGTCCAGATGGCTTCATCAGTGAATTCTAACAAATATTAAAGGAAGAAATAATAACAATCATAGAAAAACTCTTTCAGAAAATAGGAGAAGGAAATACTTTCCAACTCATTTTATGAGGCCAGCATTACCTTGATGTTAACACCAAAGAAAGACATTACAAGAAAATAAAACTAAAGATCAATATCCCTTATGAACACAGACATAAAAATAGACTTTAGCAACATAATACACTAAGACTAAGGTTTATCCAGAAAGCAAGGTTGGTTTAACATTTGAAACCAATTGATGTACTCCACTACATTAACAGAGTAAAAGAGAAAAAAAACCATGATAATATATGAAGAAAAATCATTTGGAAAAATTCAACACCCACTCATGATAAAAACTCTCAGAAAACCAGGAATATAAGTGAACTTCATCAACCTGATAAAGAGGATTTACAAAAAACCCACAGCTAATATCATACTTAATGGTGAAAAACTGAATGCTTTCCCTCTAAGACTGGGAAAAAGCCAAAGATGTCCACTCTCACCACTTCTATTTAATGTTGTACTGGAGATCTTAGCCAGTGCAATAAGGCAAGGAAAATAAATAAAAGACATATAGATTGGAAAGGAAGAAATAAAACTGTATCTATTCATTGATGACATGATTGTGTGCTAAGGAATCCATGAAAAAGATGCTAGAATAAGTGAGTTTAGCAAGGTCACAAGGATACAAGGTCAAATAAAAAAATCAAGTGTATTTCTAAAGACTATCAACAAATAACCAATTACAATAGAATCCAAAAACATGAAGTCCTTAGGGATACATTTAACAACACGTGCAAGATCTTTAACACTAAAAATTACAAAATATTGCTGAGAAAAACTAAAGACCTCAATAAATGGAGAGGTATATCATATTCATGGAAAGACTCAAAATTAAGATCTCAATTCTCTCCATATCTTTTGTTACAACATAGTTCCATCAAAAGCCAAGCTGACTTTTTTGTAGACATTTACATTCTCCTAAAACTCATATGGAAATGCAAAGGACTTAGAAGACCCCAACCAATTTTAAAAAAGAATAAAGTTAGAGGATTTATACTACCTGATTCCCAGACTTACGATAAGCTACAATAATCAAGACAGTGTGTAACTGATGCAAGGATAAGTCATACAGATCAAGGGAACAGAACAGAGAGTCCAAAAATAGATTCATGCCTACATGGTCCATTTTATTCAGCAAAGATGCCAAGGTAATCCAATGAGAAAAGGACAGTCTTTTCAACAAACGGTGCTGAGCAACTGGGTGTCAATACACAAAAACTAAACTTCTACTCTTACCTTACACCATACACAAACATTAACCTGAAATGGATCAGTGACCTAAATATAAATCTACATAAACATAAAAACTAAGACTATACAACTTCTCAGAGGAAAGATAGGAGAAAGTCTTTGTGATGCAGAGGTATGCAAAGATTTCTTAGATAAGACACAAAAAGCATTAAAAAAATTAATAAACTGAACTTCACCAAAAGTATAAACTTTTATTCTTTGAAAGATACTGTTAAGAAAATGGAAAGGCAAGTCACAAACTGGGAGAAAATATTTGAGATATATATCTGACAAAGGCTCGTTTCCAGAATATATAAGGAATTCTTACAACTCAGAAAGAAGACAACCCAATTTTTAAAATGGACAAAAGATATGAACATACACTTCACAAAAGACAACATATAAAAGGCCAATTAGCACATGAAAAGACACTCAATTTCATTAGCCATCAGAGAAATGTAAATTTTAAAACCACAATGAGATACCACTACACACCTATTAGAATGGCTAAAATTTAAAAAATCAACAATACCGAGCGTTGGTGAGCACGTGGAGCAACTGAAACTCATATGCATTGCTGATGGGAATGCCAAACGGTACAACAAATTGGAAAACAGTTTGGTAGTTTCTTAAAAGTTAAACATACACTTACCATACAACCCAGCAATTCCACTCTTAGGTATGTACCCACAAGCAATGAAAACATGTGTCCACACAAAGACTTGCACACAAACGTTCATAGCAACTTTACTTATAATAGCAAAAACTGGAAACAATCCAAGTGTCCATCCACAGATGAGTAGATAAACAAATTGTAGTATATCCATACGAGACACAACTCAGAAATAAAAAAGAACATGACGAATCTCAAAACATCATGCTGAGCAATAGAGCCAGACACAACAGACAGATGTTATATGATTCCTTTTATATGAAACACTAGAAAGGAGTAATCTATCGTGACAGAGAGCAAATCAGCAGTTGAGGGGACTGAATGGGAAAAGGCAAGGGAATCTTTTGGGGTAGTGGAAATGTTCTGCATCTTGATGGTGGCTTACCTGGGTGCATAGACTGTCAAAATTCATTGAACTATATACTGTTCACTCAAAACAGGCACGTTTTATTGTACATAAATTATCCTCAATAAAGATTCATTTTTAAAAAGCAGATAACCAGGAGAAGAATGAATCTAATATGTATGGATTGCTATGGAAAGAGCAGTAAGAAGTGTTAAGTGAAAAGGAAGCCACAAAACAATAAGTATAGTTTTTTATATTAAGAAAAGTTTTCATATATGCACACTGTAAAAAATGGGATAATATTTATCAACTGATGAAGGTAGTGTTGAATTTTTATAAGAATTATTTTGTAAGCCCACCCCCAAAAATTGATAAATATGCTCAACAAAAACAGGTGATTTATTAACAAAAACACAAAACTCTATGAGGTAGTGTTACTCACTGAACTCAGCAGAAGGGAGCCCAGCACCTAAGGCCTCCCAAGGGTGTGTGTTTCTTACGGACACCATTTCTCAGTGACTGCAGGGGCAGACAGACCCCTGATCCAGGAGAACCTCCTCAGCCCAGCCACCTGCAGCAGCATTTCCAAACGCCTCACAGAAGACACCTCCAGGACAACAAGCCAAGCCCTGGGCTGAGCGTAGAGCACACTGGGGGCCATCGCTGAAATAAATGCCTTTCAGACAAGCAGCCTCCAGGGAGAATTCTACCACTCTGAGGAGAGCACAGGGGCAGTTTCCCCAAATGAGAAGGCTAAGGCGCTGCCACACGGTGCCTCCAGACCCTGCGGCCCAGGACGTGGGAAATGGGCCGGGGACCTGTAGCTTGAGCCTTGCCTGGGCGCTTGTCAGAAATGCAGAATCCCAGGCGCAGCCTGGACCCACTGAGTCAGAAAGGATCTTAACGAGACAACCGGGGCTTCCTTGCGCAGTTAGTTGGGCTGGTCTAAAACCCAAATCGTTCACCAGCCCGAGGAGCGCTTTCTGCCCACTCTGTGCATCCAGGGAAGTCACTTCACGGTGACTGACCCACAGGATGTGCTCCGAAGTGCATCCCACTCACCTTGGCCCAGGCCAATTTCTCCTGAATGGCAGCATTGTTGGGCTCCACATGGCGAGCAAACTTGAGGTTGTTGATGGTGTATTCGTGGCCACAGTACACTCTCTGAGGAAAAAGCCAAAACTGTGAGCTCTGAAGAGACTCATTAACTGGCCCTCAAACCCCTCAGAGATGGGCACAGAGGAGCCCTTGCCTGGGTCCAGCTAGCAACACCCACGGAGATGTCCCTCAGGACAAGGATACTTATTGCGTGTTATGTTAAACAAAAATAAAAAGTACATTAAAACAGAAACCACGCTTCCAGAGGAAATGCCTCTGCCCTCGTGCTTTTCCCAACACGCAGGAGAGGCCTGTGTGGCCACAGTGGGGGAGCCAGGCTGTGAGGGCTGATGGCCCCCAAAGAGGCCAGGATGGGAGGTGAGGGGACAGAGAGAGAGAGTGCAGGCAGTGCCCTCACACCGCCCTAGTCACAGTGAGCTCGACGGCGGGGCAGGGGGGCTGCCTACTGTGTCTGGAGGGAGCCGGCCCAGGACCTCGAGCAGGGCTTTGTACATCTCATCCGCCGTCCCTTCGTAGAACTTCCCACAGCCAGCCACAAACAAGGTGTCACCTGAAAAACAGCACAGCCACGGAGCACTGGAAGGGCTACTAGCAGGACGTACCCCCTTGAGGGGTTGAAGGTCAGCTCCCAGGTGATGCTGACCACCCCACCGTCCATGGGCTGCACCCACAGCCAGGGCTCCGCTCTGACCCCTGGGCTGACCAGGACACAGCCCCAGACCTGACCTCCACCCAGGTACCTGACAGGGCCCAAAGACGATCCACAACTCTCAGTTCCCACCCTCTCCAAACCTCTTCCCTCAAGCCTCACTAACTGGCAGCACCAGCCCCTTAAACAGCTATCCAAACCCAAACCTTCGGGTCAGCCTGACTCCTCCCTTCACTGCCCAGTCCTATCAGCCATAGCCCTGAGGCTCCCAAAACCCAGCCCTTCTCCCCACCTGCCCAGTAGCTCCCTCCCAGGCCCAGACTCCTTGTGTCTTCCCTTATCCCGGCAGCCAGCGTGATCCTGTAAGGACCCCCACTGGGATCTTACCGGCCCCTGCCTGGGCCCTCAGGGAGCCCCTCATGGGGTACTACAGCCCACAAGGGCCCTCGAGACGTGGACTTGCTGCCTCCCACACACCCCCTTCCTGCCTCAGCCCTTTAGCATGTCCCCTCCACCTGACACCCACCTGGTCTCTACTCTACACACTGCTGCTTCCCTCTCCTGGGTGTCTTCCCTGAGAATGAGCTCTGTGCCCAGTGGAAGCCCATGGCGCATTTGTTCTCCAGGTCCCTGTGGTGGGCAGAGCCTGGGACCCCACGATGTTGAACGACATTCCTGCTCCATCAGCATCTGCCAGGCCTCTCCCCAGGGAGCCCCGGGCCCACACCCCAGAACCATGGAGCCATCCCAGGTAGGAGCCAAGGCCCACCTGGTGGGAGTGGTACAGCACGGCCCCCTCAAAACAAGACAACAGGACGAGGTAGTAGGGCGGCCTGTGAGCAGAGCCTCAACACACAGAATTGGGGCTCTGCCCCTGAAGGACCCTTCAACTTCGAATCTAGGGACCAGAGAGGGGTCAAGGAGACCCCAGAGGAGGACAGGCCACGTACAGGCGCAGGAGGCTGCAGGGTCTGGTTCTCCCTCCAGGGACGAGCAGCACCTGCTATTTCCACACCCAGGAACTTCACAGGCCTCCTGCCGCTGCGGGGAGCCAGCCTGGGCCTCTTCCTTTTGGGGGCCAAATCCTCACTGGCAGCATCACAGCAGCAAGGACACTGAGAGACCCGGGGCCCCCCATGCCTCCCCGGGCAGCCAGGACCACCATTCTCCTACACCCCCAGCCTCCCACTGTCTCCCTCTCACCCTCCCACATTATCTGCCAAGAGCGCCTGGGGGTGTCCCAGCTCCATGGCAGGCCACTCCTCCACCCCAAGCTCTGCAGAGCCAGCCCACCTCCACATACCCCCGGACTTAGCCCACGGTTCTAGCATCCACTGTGGCCTCCTCTTCCCCAGCCACCTGAGCTACTCCCATGGCCTTAGCACTCACTGCCCTGAGCTGGGGTCCCAAATCTGAGGTCCCAGACCTCGACCTCTCAAACACAGAGATCCCACCAGCTGACATCACAGCACCCTGCTCCCACACCCAGGCCTGTACCCCAGGCCGCCTTGCGCTCCTCCTCCCCTGTCTGTCAGCACCTAGGCCTGCCCACCACATCCCAGGCTGCAGCCACACCCTTCTCTGCGCTGTCACCTCCACTTATGTCCTTCTTCCTCGGCTCGGCTCGCCCCGGAGGGGAAGTGAGTATGGCCCTTGGTCACTCAGAGCCGGGCCTGAGGCCACCAATCACCTCACCTCTGGACACTGCAGGTTCCTCAGCTATGCGCACACAGGCCAGCCAGGGCCCTGCTGTACTGTCCTGTTTCCCACACCATTAGTCCTCACTGTCGATGCCCCAGACACCTTAGCTTCACCACTGAGGACACTGGACAATTTTCATGTATTTATTATAAAAGTTACCCACAAGACAATGCACTCCTCTGCCAGCCGCTGTCACTCAGACAACAGGATCAACACGTGCAGGACATGGTTCAGGGTCAGTGTCTGGTGGCAGTCAGCCCTCCACAACACGTTCCAAAGCGGGGACGCAGCTTCTAATATCGGCACAGTCCCAAGGGCGCCCGCCTCGCTCGTGGGGTCATCCCAACGGGCCCGTAAGCTCCCCCAGGTCCTGACAACCCCGAGAGCAGGCACTGCCATCCTACCTGCCTGATGGGCAGACCAACATCTGGGGGTTTACACGGCGTAGTAACAGGAGCACGGACGCACTGGAGTGTACCAGGCCCAGCAGCAGTGTCCCACCCCACACCTCACGCCCACCACCACTCTGGGGGAGACTCCACTTACATCACCTGCTCTAGACCACGGTCCCACAAGGCCCATCGTGAGGCTTGGGGCACCCACAATGTGCCCAGGGTCCCAGCACCTGCGCTTGGGCCTCAGCTCAGAGCCTGCACTGCCTGCTACTGCAGTGAAGACACTGAAAACAGCTGTATTTTTTAAAATAAACTTAGATTTGGGGATAATTTTGGATTTACAGACAAGCTGAAGAGCCAGTCCAGAGGCCCCGCCCACCCCCGGCACGTCTATGTCTCCATTCGTGTTAACGTCCGATGTCACCTGGGCACTTATCAAAATGAAGAGCCCATGTTCGCACGTGCTATTTACTCCACTCCACTGAGGACTCCGTGCGCATCTCGCACGAACGCCCTGTTTCCCATTGCAGGACCCACTCCAGGAGCCCACCTTGCATCTAGACACTGTATTTGCAAACAAACTCACGCTGCAGTTCTAATATCAAGACTGTAACTTACATCTCTAGAAGACTCAGAGCTTAAAAACTGTCTATATTCACTGAAAAAGGTAAGGTGGAGGGGAACTCCACACACTAACAGGCCTGCTCCACTGGGGTAACACACTCCCAGCTGTTCCTGCTCATCCACGGCCACTGGCTCACGTCACCCTGAATGCCCAGCCATCACACGGCTGTTCCGCCTCACAGCTTCCCCAAACAGCATCAACATTCTTTCACTTTCTCTCAGAGGGGAAAAATACCTCCGATTGCTGGAAAGGCCTGCCTGCCCCAACTGAGTGCTGCTCCCACAGCCTGATGCCGGGCGGGGCTCCACAAACCCCAATGATGGTCACGGCTGCCGCAGCCTGCAGCCACCACCGAACTCACCCACCACCACCGTCTGAGCTTGTCAGAGCCTACTGTGGAGGGCCCCCTGGCCATGGGCTGGCCACTGGACCCAGCTGAGCTCTCAGGCCCATGGAGGGATGGGGCAGCATGAGCGCTCGGCACACAAGACGAGTCTGGCTGACTCCACTCAGGATCTCCCTCAGAGAGGCTTGCTGCCCCCCCACCTTGCCCACCTGTGTGCTTCTGCAGATGGTGGGGGCTGGGACTGCATCCCCACCAGGCACAGTCTCTCAAGGAAAGACTTGTCCCCTGGGCACCTGACAGTGGTGACCAGGATCAGAGGGAGCACACGGGCCAGCCCCACCAGGAGCACCACTCCCCCAACCCCCACATCCACCAGGCCTGCCTGTGCCCTGGATGTGTTTGAAGCTGAGCCCCAGGCTCCATCCTGAGGGCTAAGGTCCTCCTCACACAGTCCTGGGAGTCTGCCTGGTAAGAAACGCTCTGCTTGGGCCGGCCCGGTGGCTTAGGGGTTAAGTGCGTGCGCTCCGCTGCTGGTGGCCCGGGTTCGGATCCCGGGCGCGCACTGATGCACTGCTTGTCCGGCCATGCTGAGGCCGCGTCCCACATACAGCAACTAGAAGAATGTGCAGCTATGACATACAACTATCTACTGGGGCTTTGGGGGAAAAATATATAAATAAATAAATAATTAAAAAAAAAAAGAAACGCTCTGCTTTTCCGTCCAGGTTTTCAGACATCCCTAAGCCAAGAGGGTCCTTGCAAAGAACACCCGACCCCCAGCACACACACCTGAACGCTCACCTGTGAACACAGCAGGGGGGTTGGAACTGTCTGGCTTGCTCACAAAGTAGCAGATGTGTCCAGAAGTATGGCACGGTGTTGACAGGCACTTGATGTTGAGAGACCCCACCTTAAACAAAGCACACACTGGCAAGTGCCCCCTGAGTGCCAGGAGACTGTCCTAGGCTCACAAGTACATGGCTTGCTAGGCCAGCAGAATTCTCAGATCCCATGCCTGCCCACAGCAGGAGCTCCCAACGTGGGCAAGGGGGCTTCCATTGCCACTGGTCCATCTAGCAGGACGTGGACCTTGCTGGTGACCATGGGACTCAGTCCTCGAGAGCACTCCCAGGTACAGGGATCACCCTGGACCCTGGTGTTTGCTGGCGTGCAAAACCAAGGGGCTTTGTTTTCTCCCTCAAAATCAGGCCAGATCTGAACCAGGTGTCTTGCTAGAAAAGACACTTCTCCTTCTTAAGTGCTTGGGTTTTGGTTTTGTTTTCATTCTGTCTCCACCTCCCCACTGAACTTTTTACTCAAAAATGTTCAAACCTACAAAATAGCTGCAATATATAAAGATGAACATCTGTGTGACTTTCCCTGGCTCCCCAGATGCTAACAGTTTCCACATCTGGAGCATGTGCTCTCTCCACATACTTGAAGTCACACACATCCTGCCAAATCACCCCTAAGAACTCCAGCTGCATCTCCTGAGAAAAGGACGTCCTCCCACATAACCTCACCACCATCATCACATCCAGAAATCTAACACCGATGTGAGTACGACCCCACATAGAGTCCATACTTAAATCTCCCCAATTGTCTCAAAACTGGCCCTTCTAGCTTCTCTCCATCCAGTCACCATTTGCACACTGATTTGCTTGAGGCGGTCTTGACAGACCAGATGTCCAGGCCCAGGCAGCCCTGAGGCCTGCCACGCATTCACAGGTTAGGCCATCTCCAGAGCCCAAGTCCTCAAGTGCCCCTCAGGGTCCCTGGGGTATGGGAGGGGACAGCAGGAGGGGGAGGCAGTGTTCCCACTATTCCCCCTCCCTACACTCTGCTCTAGGGCCTGGAGTCCCGCAGGGCCACGTTTGAGCCCATTCTGTCTGCTCACTCCTCACCTGCAGTGTGGACAGGTGAGTGACCTTGTGAGTCAGGGCCCCGATCCGGTCATCGCCCCCATACACCTTCAACCCAGGCTCCAGCTTGACCAGCTTCTCGTTCCCACCAGCGTGGTCCCTAGAAGTCAAAAAGGAGACGTGGGGCTATGCTAAACAAAGGGGGTTTGCTTGCTTTTAAACCCTGACCACACGGAATTTCTATTTTGCCCAGTTATGTTTCTCAGAAGTAGAAATGCTTCTTCCAGCACAGGAAACTGGCTTCTTGTCTGTCACTTGGCTCCACTGAAAAGAACATTCTCAGACACCCCATTACCAAGTGAGGCACTTCCACACCCCTGCCCTGTTGCTGCAGAAGCTTATGGAGCAGATGAACCAAATCACAAACACCTGGGTAATCCCTAAGCTTGTGGTTCCCAAGCTTTAGACACATCAGAGTCACCTGAGGATCTGTAAAAAGCTGACTCCTACCCCCACATCCTGATGCAGCTGGCCTGGGGGTGGCCTGCAGGACAGGAGTTTTAAAAGCCCCCCAGGTGATTCTGACACATAGCCTAGTTTGGGACCCACTGCCCTGAGCAGATCGCGAAGCGGTCTTCTAAGATAGCAATGCCCGGCCACCCGAGGGCAATTTGTTTGCCCAGGGACAGGTCAGCCTGGAATAACCTCCCCAGCTGACTCTAATGTGCAGCCCAAGTTGAGGCATCTCCGGGACATTCATCCAGGGGCACCCACCGCTGCCCCGGGGTCAGTGTGACCTGCACTTCAGAAAGAGGGTCAGGAGAAGAGCTCCATTCCCAGGCTTGTGGGGCCAGAATTACACCAGTACAAGCCCAGCGGGACCCTGAACTCAGGGCGGGGCACGGCAGGGAGTGTCTGACACCAGAAGATCAGCATTTCCAGGATGAGGCGAGGGCTTTCCTATCGCCAAGGAACGCCTGCTCCTCACTACACATTCACCTAGGGCGTCCTCCGAGGGCCCAGAGATAACAGGAGGCCGCCCTCTGCTCCCCTCCCCTCCAAGGGCTGATACACACAGGCCGGCCACCGCCTCAGCACAGTCATCGATCTGTGAAAACATCACTGCCACCACCCGTAAGTGGGAGGGAGGCAGAGGCCAGCCCTGGAGCTCAGTTTAGGGCCTCGTTTCGGGTTTTATGTTCTAGTACAAACATAAGGTGCTGAGATAAACCCCAAAGCATCGCAATGTCAGAAAAGTGTGGGAGAGAAGCAAACTGTGACAGGCTCAGGACGGGAAGTGGAGGCTCCGCACAGCCACAAAGAGGGCACCACAGAGGGGCGCCTCGGTGCAGCACGTGAAGATTTCCTGAAAGAAAGAGTGGCTGCTCTACGTAGTACAGGCCAAGGAGAAGCTGTACATCCCCATCCCTAATGTGTTCAGGAATTAATACCTGATGCCCCAAAGGCTGAACGACCCAAATATTCTCAGCAACTTAGTTATATCAACCAAGAAGTTTCCACCATTTAACAAAGTTTGCTCAAACCACATCCATCTGATACTCCCATAGAAAAGACAACAGGCCTCATTTTACCACAAGGACACACCCCTAACTCCACACAGGCTGAATTACAGCAAGATGCTACAGGCTCAGGTTCAAAGATGCTGGCTGCCCTCGGGCAGCTATTTGGAAAAGAAAATTCAGACCCAAATAACCACTTTTTTCTAGGTTTCAAGAGCCTCAAAAGTTTCAAAAACCCAAAAGAAGGGCCTTGGGCAAGCAACGTAGTCCTAAAACCCAAACACGGGTGCTTTTTTCATCCTTTAGCCTTCAAATATCAAAAAACCCACAACCTCTCCAAATATGGCTGCTGACTTTTAAAAGCACTAACGTCTAGACTAGTTTATTCCTTGACATCGAAGACAATTTTTTATCACACAAGCCCAAGAGTTTTCAAAGACACTGCTGGAGGTCCTCCCATGGCAGAGGATCCATAGCACAACTATCTCCCCACGGAGCCCCCAAGTCACCAGACCCTATCACCAGGGCTGAGGGACGTGGGTCAGCAGCACGGAGGCTAATGCCTGGAAGCCTTCTCAGTATCCCACTGAGAGCTAACCTCAGCTGCATGGTGGACACAGCTGTAGGGGAAGAAGAGTTTCCAGGGCTCTGAGCCCCCAGGGCGAGAAGTGACCCAGGCTTCCAGCTGTTGGAGGGCCCAGAGAGCCTGCAGCACCCCTGCCTGGCCCGGTGAACAGGCGCCTTTGAGGTGCGCATGGCACAGAGCTGTCAGGCCCAAGCAGCTCTGCTGGCGTGGAAGAAGTTCAGCCTCCAGAGCACTTACCAGTGGTGGTGGGTGGTGAGCACTGTGGTCAGCTTCACGCCGTGCTTTTTCACCGTTTCTACAACCTGCAACCAAAAGTGAGGCAAGACACAGGCCACGGTCACACTCCCAGCACCAACTCGTCGGCCTGCAGGGCGGGGATACCCAGTGCAACCCAGGATGAGCCAGGAGGGGCAGGGCCCTGTCCTGACCCTGCCGACTCACCCGGACTCCAGGAGAGCAGGGTGAAGGTGGCCTTTTTCTCTCTTGATCCACTTGGCAGCTCAGTCCCACCCACAACCTCTCCAAGCCCCTCCAGCTAAGGCCGCCACCAAGGGGCAGAAAGCCTCCAGGAAGAGAAGACAGTGCCAAGGAGGGCTCCTGCTTCTCCACGCCTGGGGACTTTACAGACAGAAGCCCTTTTCCCTCCACACCAAAGCCTTTGGCCAACTCCACCCCTCTCACTGGCCCTTTGCCCCAATAACAGAGTATCTGGACACTAGTTTAATTGTTTTTCAAAAGCCAAATGGATTAATTTCTGATTAGCTTCTGCCAAGTGGCAAGGACACCATGGTTATCAAACTCATCAGGGGAGGAAGACGTGGTGCGGGGGGCACACCTCCCACCTTCTGAGGCTGCACTGGGTCCACGATGGCAGCCTCCTTGGTGTCATCATCGATGATCAGGTACATGTAGTTGTCAGTCAGGGCAGGCAGTAACTCAACCTTCATGGTGCCCTCTTCCACCGTCAAGCTCCTCCTTAAATCCACGTGATGGAGAAGGTTTCCCAGCAGGGCTGCACCTGAAAACAGAATGCAGCTCCCATCAGTGTTGCATGAGGCCACACAGGGCCGAGACTCCAAAACAAGCCCTCAGACCAGCAGTACAGACATCCCAGGGATTTGTCATCCCAGGGACACGCCACCCCAGGGACACAAGGCAGCGAGCATAGAAGCGTGACGCTCACCATGCCAAGTTTTCTAAGTTCCTTTGATAGAGAATATTCTCATTTAATCACATCAATAAGGAAAAAATAGAAAATGATTCATGTTGATATTTATGGAAAGCAGCTCTTTCAGACTTATGATCCTTTTTTTTTTTTTTTTTTT